GCTTCAGCCTTGTGACCATCAGCGCTTCTGTACTGTTCTAGGCCTCGTGCCTACTGGGCCTCACTTGCTTACTTCTTGACTCTGCTTGTACTGTGATCTCTGTATATATACCTGCTTGTTTACTCTTGCTAGGTTGTGATCACTGTATCTCTTGTTATACTATCAACCTGCATGTGAACTGGTCTTGTGACCACTTGCTTGTGCTCAGAATTTGTGTGGTTTCCTTGAGATCCACCCTGAGCTTGCTTTGCTTTGCTTTGACTGGTCTTGTGACCATCTGGTTGTCTCCCACTTAGCCTATGGGGGTGTGTCAAACATTATATGTTTATATTGTGTAGGCTATAGTGGGTTTAGCCTTAGGGGGTACAGCTTTGTTAGGGTTTCCTACTTGTATCCCCCTCCTACCTAGTTTCATGCATTCTCGTTCTATTCTAGATTCTAACATCGTTCAACACGAGCACCAACTTCAACGAGAAGTCGTCATCACTGTCGCCAATAATCAGAACCTGCGCACACGACGACAAGGAGTAGTGCAACTTCAGTCACGAGAGACGAATGTCATACTGCAAATGTCCAAAGTCCTAATAGCAGAAGGACTTGGCTACAACTTACTGAGCGTCAGTCAGTTGATGGCGAAAGGCATACATCTGGAAGCCGACAGTACCACCCAGGAGTTCAAGCTGTACCACGGGAAGGGCGGCCTCTACATCGGAAAGGCGGTCCTGAAGAACAATGTCTTCGTTCTCGATTTCGTCCCAGACCTGGGCACCACAGACAGTGACGGGATCGTCACCTTCACATCTTGGACGCACCCGCCGGATCTCGACCCCGACTTCAGTCCGGAAGGCTTTTGGTATTCACATACCATTCTTGAAGCAGAACGAACACGTGCGTTAGTAACAATACAACATTCGGCAGCAGCAGAGACAACATCGGCAGCAACAGAGACAACATCGGCAGCAGCAGAGACAACATCGGCAGCAGCAGAGACAACATCGGCAGCAGCAGAGACAACATCGGCAGCAGCAGAGACAACATCGGCAGCAGCAGAGACATCATCGGCAGCAGCAGAGACATCATCGGCAGTAGCAGGAACAACAACAGTAGCAGCAACAACGACACCACTCCTCGTTGACGAAGCACCACCAACACCCGCACAGCAGCTGAATCCGGCTCAACGGGAAGTCCATAGAAGCGCAAACTTCACCGCCAGCTTCTACTCCAACTCCGACGCGTATCGACGCTCACCCGGACACCGCGCCTCCGAAGACATCTGGCACGCACGCATGGGACACCCAAGCAACACTGTGTTAAACAACACAATAAGAGCAGGAGTCCTTGACAAGGACTCGTTACTACTACTCGACGGCAGAGAACTTCAACGGGCACGAGGAACATGTCTTACCTGCCCCGAAGCCGACTTACCACATCGGCCGTTCACTCCTCATCACAACCCGAGCACACCCGCGTACGCACCACTCGAAAAGGTGTATAGCGACATCCTGTACAATCGGGAACCAGGACAAGTAATATACAACTACACAATCACCTTCATCGACGCCGCCACCCGTTACGTCTGGCATCTAAACCTACCCAGCCGCGACATGGTCCTCGAAGCATTCGCTGCTTGGCTACCAGTAGCAGAAAGAGAGTCGGGCGTAAAGCTGAAAAGCTTCCAGTCTGACGGAGGAGGAGAATACACCTCTCAGCGATTCAAGCAGTACCTGGCAGAAAGGGGAATCAAGCAGCTCCTCTCTCTTCCCTACGCCCATCAGCAGCAAGGTGTAGCAGAAAGAATGAACAGGACTCTGCAGAACAGCATGCGCAAACTGTTGCGTGGCATGCGGCTACCCAACCACCAGTGGCCTGACGCGATGGACCACGCTGTCATGCTGCACAACTTGCTCTCATCTTCATCACTACCGAACAACGCATCACCGCATCTGCTGTGGACAGGAAAACAGGGCAGCACAAAAATGTTACGAGTGTTCGGATGCATGGTACAGTACCGACCCCCAGCAGCACGAGCGGGCCGATTTTCACAACGCGCACAGTGGGGACTACACCTCGGCATCGAAAAGAACTACAACGCGTGGAAAATCTTTGACGTCCACTCCAAGGAAACAGTAGCAGCACGCGACGTCATTTTCTACGAACGACTCACGCTCCAGACATACCTTGCCAACCTGCAAGAGGACCAAGATCCCACAGGTGGTTTTCGTGGTGACCGAGCCTTCGCCTCGGCAGCAGACGAAGCTGACTGGGACGAGCAGAATGTGGCCAACGCATCAGAAGAAGCTGGACCCCTTCCGTTCTGCTCCGTCGACGTCCCCATGGACGAAGATAACCCTCGCGAAAGTGTCAACGCCGAAACCTTCTACTACTTCGCCGACAACGGTTAAGTAACACCTGCGACAGTCAACACCAACGAAGCAGAACGAGTAGGACCGAACTTCATACCTGATCCAGAAGCGGGAGATGAAGCAGCTTATCCCGAGGATGCAACTCTTCCCCGCTACTCACAGACTGGACTGCAGATTCTCGGACTCGTCACCGCAGTCCACGGCAACACTCTTCCTAAGGAGCCTGCGACGGTTCAGCAGGCTCTGGGGGGGGAACACAGGGAAAAATGGCGTGAAGCCATGGACAGAGAGTTAAAGGCGCTGGAGGAACGGAACACCTGGAAAGTTGTCCCCATCAGCGTGGCAAGGAACAAGACCATTCTCACCGGGAAATGGGTCTTCCGCGTTAAAACAAAAGCAGACGGCACAATTGAGAAGTTCAAAGCACGCTGGGTTGTGCGTGGATTCGATCAGGAGCACGGACGGGACTTCACCGAGACATTCGCCCTGGTTAGCCGACATACCTCACTTCGAATCCTCCTCGCGATCGCCGCCATGAAGAAAAGGAAGCTACGGCAAATCGATGTCGCCAACGCGTTCCTCTACGCACCTGTCGACGTGGAAATCTTCGTCGAGCTCCCACACGGTACCAACGGGGAACCTAACCAAGTCTGTCAACTGCTGAAATCACTTTACGGGATTAAGCAAGCTCCGCGGCTATGGCAACAGTACCTACACGCTCGCCTCATTCGCATCGGATTCCGCCAACTACCTCACGACCAAGGAATGTACCGACTCACTAAAGACACCGACTACATTCTGCTGATCGTCTACGTAGACGACCTACTCTACATCGGCTCCACTGACGACATCACCACCTGGTTCGAAGGGGAGCTACAGAGGGACCTCACACTCACGGTCTCCTCTACCGTCACACAGTACCTCGGCTTGAACATTCGGGAAGAAGAAGGCGCGATCTACCTCAACGCCGCTAAGTACGCCGACACCATCGCCAAACGCTTCGCGCTCACACCTACCACCATCTCTACGCCCTACCGCTACGCGACAGGAAACCACAAGGAAGGATCCTCTCTACTCAAATCCGCCGGGATACGCGACTACCAGAGAAAGCTAGGATGCCTTCTCTTCGCAGCTGTCACCTGCCGCCCCGACCTCTCATACTCCGCAAGCCAGCTCGCCACCTACCTCAAGAAGCCTGATGCAGAACACCTGGCGGAGCTCGACCGCGCTCTCCACTACTTCGTCAGTACCTCAACGATCGGCCTAACTTACTACAAGAACACAACTACACCGACTAAATTAATCGGCTACGTCGACGCTGATCACGCTGGCGACTCCGACAACAGGCGCTCCCGCACCGGCTACATCTACCGCCTCGAACCTATCGGACCGATCTCCTGGCAATCGAGCAAGCAGGAATTAATTGCTCTCTCGTCAGCTGAAGCAGAATATATTGCACTCTGCTCAGCCACCAAGGAAGGACTCTATCTTCGCGAGCTGCTGGAAGAAGCGAAGTTAGCCGAGTTACCCAACTTCACTCTGTTCTGCGACAACCAATCTGCAATTCGCATCGCCAACAAAAATGGATTCGCGAACAGAACGAAGCATATCGCTCTGCGATATTTCTTCGTGAAATACGAGATTGAGAAGGGGAGACTTGAACTATCCTACTGTCCCACGTCCGAGATGGCAGCTGACTACTTGACCAAGAAGCTCGGAAAACAGAAGTTCGAGTACTGCATGCTGCTGACTGGACAAAGCCACGTCACCAGCAGCGACACTCCAGAAGCGAAGGGGAGTGTTGGGAACAAACAATCTTAAGCGCCTCTGTCGTGTCGAAACACCAAGGCACAAGCGAAGCAGAGCATATCGAGGCACCAGCGAGTCAACCCTCGGAGGTTGAAGTAACCGCTGGAGGTTACGCGAAAGTCAAAGGTCAGCGACCTTTGACTTGACAAATGCAGCGCGACAGCAAGGACACACAACTGACTCGACATTGAGCAGTTGCCCGAGTCGCACTGTATCGAACCGCAACAGTAAAACAGTTTAATTATATCTCTTCGTATTCTTTGTACTCTTATATAAACCTTTGTACTTGCTTGTTTTAATCAACTTACTTTGCCCTCACATACCAGCGCAAGGTGGTTCAAGGACTTCATTTAAACGCTTCCGCTACTACATCACTCTACCCAGAGTTTAACCCTACCAAAGATCCTAAGGGGCACTCAGCCCAACAGCTACTTCTGCTAGCTAGTTACAACCGGATGTGCGTGATCCCTAAAACGCTTTCTATTTTCTTGGGGAATATTCTGGTGGTGTAGGAGAGCAGTTTTTGGCTGCACAAACACATGCTGGCCTGATTTGCGTCGGTTCCCATAATGGGTTTTTTCAACGTTTAGTAGTGAAGGCAATGTAGGAGATTATGTGAGTTGCGTTTGGGTAGTACTGCGATCAATAACGGAGATGCTGGAAAATCAAGGTGATCTGTTCATCAGACTCCTCCTGGCACTTCGCATCGCATGCTTCCTGATCTGTAGATAGGTCCTGGTTTCAATACCACTCTATGGTAGCCATAACTAGCCATTGACACGCCTTTTCCGCTGCCATAATCCGTACCTGAAACCGGTGGTATCCACGATGGATGCCTTCGAGAGTTATTTCCGAGCGGCGGACACGAATGGCGACGGAGTCATTAGCGGGGCGGAGGCTGTGACCTTCTTTCGACGATCCGGCCTTCCTCAGATGACTCTCGCAAAGGCACGTCCAGCGAACACTTTACGGCATTAACTCTGAAAAAACTGCATCACCGTGGCACAACCTCTGGCGGTGCCCTCGTCCTGTTCCCATTCGTCCAAATAACATCTCTTTCGTGTGCGGTAGTCTCGTATCGTGTGCGACAGCGTCGCATCGCTTGCGATAGCGTGCGAGCATGCAAACGGTCCTTCTCGAGGGCTCATATCAGCCATTCTTTGTCATGCATCCCTGTCTCTACCCCACTCCGTCATCCGCCATCCACCACTTCTCACGTATTGTCATTCACCACGACACCCGTTCCCGCTGCCATCGTACTCTCTCGTCTATCCGTACCGTCGCGCCTATGCAACTGTGACAATACTCGGGTTTGCGTCAGGCTGGCGCGTTCACCCGAATCTGAACGTGACTCAGAGTCCATTCTCCACCCTACCTCCCTTAACACTACCCCCTGGTCTGTCATCTGCCACCCTCACCACCACTCCCTGTCTGCAATCTACCACTCTTAACGCAACCCCTTGTTTGTAACCGCAACCGCCCCTCTACAGGTGCAGTACTTGGACGTGCGTCAGGCGAGCTCCCTCACCCGAATCTGAACATGGCTCACCACCCTTGCCACTCACTACCCCCCTGTCTGTCTCACAATCCCTGCAGGTGTGGCAGTACTCGGACGTGCGTCAGGCTGGCTCGCTCACGCGCCCCGAGTTCTTCAACGCGCTGCGCCTTGTCACTGTAGCGCAGTCGGGCCGCGACCTCACCCCCGACCTCGTGCGCGCCGCGCTCAACGGCCCTGCCGCCTCGCAGATCCCTCCTCCTCGCATCGCGGGAGCTCCTTCTCCTGCCACTGCTCCATCCCCCGCCACTGCTGCTCCTGTGGGTGGTGCTTCTGCCCTCCCTGCTGCTCGAGGCCCTGTTCCTGCTCCGTCTGGTGTTGCCGCTGCTGCAGCACCTGTTGCTGCCGCTGCTCCTGCTGTTGCTGCACCATCTGCTGCAGGAGCAGCAGCAGCACCCCAGCTACCCCGACGCCCGTCGCCTACTCCCACTCGTCCCGGGATGGGACCAGGCGCCGTTTCTGCCCCACAGCCTCTCTCCTCCTTCCCTTCTGGCCTCAGCGTAGGCTCCTCCAGCGCAGGACTAGGCTCGGGAGGATTGACAGCCGCAGCAGCAGCAGCGGGATTGAAGCCGAAGCAGCCTGGCGCTCTGTCAGACGTTTTCGCTGAGTTTGGTTCGTTTGATGTTAAGTCCAAGTCCGTGCAGCCTACTAGTGCGCTTGTGAGGCGGGAGGTACCGGAGTCGTTGCAGCAGAAGCAGCAGCAAGCGCAGATGGGGACGATTCAGCTGCAGCAGCAGATGGCTGCTAAGCAGCAACAGGATCAGTTGCAGCAACAGCAGCAGCAGTTGCAGCAGCAACAACAACAGCAGTTGCAGCAGCAGCAGCAGCAGCAGCAGCAACAGCAGCTACAGCAACAACAGGCGTTCCCACCACCACAGCAGCAGTCGGCAGGGGAGGGGATGCCATCCCAAGGACCTGCACCTGCTGCCGCCGCGTCCGCCCCTGCTGCCCCTTCTGCACCTACCACTGCCGGCCTCTCTGCTGCCGACCAAAGCATGTCCTCTATTGCGCAGCCTCCTCCCGCCCCTGCTCCGGCTGCTGCTCCTGCTGCGCCTGCTGCTTCTGAACCCACAGCAGCAAGTTCAGGAGCTGCAGATCCTGGTATGCAGGCAGCAGCAGCAGTCCAGGATGCAGACAAGAAAGGAGCAGGTGGAGTGAGCACAGGCGCACCAGGAGCAGCAGCAACGGCAGAGGGAGCAGGAGGAAAGGTGAAACGGACAGCGGACGACATTGCAAAGGCGTCCCTGAATGCTTTCCTTATAGGAGGTGTTTCTAACGCCATGGTGCCCAAGCAACCCCCAGGCACAGCCCCAGCCCCAGCAGCAGTAGGAGGAGCGGCAGGAACAGGGCAGTTCGTTCCAAGCCAAGCCATCGTGCCTGCGGCTGCTGCTCCTGGTGCTGTTGTCGCTGCTGGGATGGCAGCAGCAACAGCAGGGGGAGCAGCGGCAGCAGCAGGGGGGGCAACAGGAGGGGGTTATGTGATGGTTCCAGGTGACCCTCAGCCATGGCCCCGACTCACAGTCGCAGAGGTGCAGCGCTGTGCAAAGGTGTTCAGTGCGGTGGACACGGATAGAGATGGGAAGATCACAGGAGAGCAGGCGAGGAAGCTGCTGATGAGCTACAAGGTCCCTATCGGTGAGCTCTCCTCCCGGCCGGCTCTTTCCCACCCCACTACCCCCTTACCTCTGCCACCCACTGCCTCCGCCCCTCCCATTTTGCTCCTTATCTTGTCTCCACTCCTCGTTGTTTCCCTTGTCTCCCTGTCACCTCTTCCCCTTTGGCATCTGACTCCATCACTCTGCCGTTCCGCTCCCCTCTCCTCCTCCCTCTTCCCACCCGCCTCCCAGACGTGCTGAAGCGGGTGTGGGACATGGCAGACCAGGACAAGGACGGCATGCTCACCCTGCGAGAGCTCTGCACCGCTCTGTACCTCATCAACCATGTGAAGGCGGGCCGACAGCTGCCGCCCACCCTGCCCCAGGGCATTCACTTGGATGAGCAGGTGCCACCCCCCGCTGCTGCTTCTTCTGCCCCTGCTGCAGCTTCAGCCGCTGTGTCAGCCAGCGCAGCCGGCCCTACTGCTGCTGCTGCTGCTGCTGCTGGGCCGGGAGGGGAGGGAGGAGGGGGTGCAGCAGGTGGGGCTGGTGCACCAGCAGTTACTGCTTGGAGACACCAGCCAGGTGCGTTGGGGGGGGGGGGGGGGGGGGGGCAAGGGGCATGCATGGGGTACTGTGAGGCCTTGCTGTGCGCGTGTGCTTGTAGGCCTGAGCATGTTCGTGCAATGCTCCATACGAGTGTATGCTATTTTGGATCAGCATAGGACAGCTGCTCGTAGTAGTGCCTTGACACTGTTTGGATCACTGTAGGTTTTGGGTGCGCTCTTGTGCATTGCTTGCCTCATCCGCGGTTCCCCCTGCGAATCATCCTTTCAACCACCTCCCGTATCGTGCCTGCAGTGAGTGGCACACCCGAGCAGCAGCAGCAGCAGCAACAGCGACCAACAGTAGTGGTGCGTCAATAATCCCCTTCCAATCCTTTTCTTATGCCCATATCATGCCTTTCGCTTTCTTCTTCTCCTCCATAATGGTCCCATCCCACCCTCCTTCCCTCCCTCGCGTCCTCCCTCCCCTCCCTCGCCCCTTCCCACCCCCTCTGTGCATCCTGATCTGCTTCATTTCCCTCTCTCCTAAATCTGGATATCTTTTTGTTTGTTTGTTTTAACCTTAGCTTGTGATATCAGAACCTAAAATGTTTCATCTCCCAAGCAACCTAACCCATGCCCGTGCCCACCACGCAACCCCACGCACACCCATCAGCTGACGGCGTGGGGCAGATGCCGGTGCCAGAGGAAAGCGAGAACAGAACTCTTCACAACGCACTCCATACCCACTGCACCCCACCTGCATAACCCCACCCCACAATCCCACACACACCCACATCAGCTGACGGGCGTGGGGCAGATGCCAGTGCCAGCAGAAGCAGGAGACGTGGATGCATCCCGGCCCGTGTACCGCTCCCAGGCGCCCGACCTGGAGGCGGAGAAGGTGGCTCAGCTGGATGCGGAGGAAAGGGAGAAGCTTGAGAGCAAGCACAAGGAGGTGGAGGAGATCGGTAAGAAGGTGAGTAAGATGTCCTTATTGGGAAGAAGGTAAGCAGGGGGGAGTGAGGGGGATGGGGCGGGGTTGATGGGGAGGAACACATTAACTTGGTGTTGTGAGGTTCTGTGAACTCCTTTGCTTGCTGGTTGCTGCTGCCTCAGCCCCTCAGCCCGTCCAACCCTCTTCTCCCCGCCCCACTGCCTCCCTCGCGCTCACTCCCTCTTGCTCACTCTCTCGTTCACACTCTCTTGCTCACTCTTCCAACACTGTTGATTGTGTGCATGACTGTCCCCGTGTCTGTTTGACTGCCCCCGTGTGTGCATGAATGTCCTCCCCCCCCCCCTTCTGGTGTGCGCATGCTGGCACGGGCAGGTGTGGGAGACGGAGCTACAGATAGCGGACTACAGGCGCAAGATTGACTTCTATCGTGTCAAGATGCAGGAGATCGTGAGCCCGCTCTACCCATTCCATGCCACTCCATTCCATTCCACCATATTATGCCATTTGCTCTCGCTTCCTAAGATGCAATGCAGCTCGTCCTTTCATCAATCCCATTGGTCTGCATGTCTTAGAATGGCAGCCACCAGTCTTCTTGTCAGGTTGCATGCACGCATGTCTCATCTCTAGCCGTCCATTTTATTTAATCCCTGCTCCTGTGTGCCTGTCCAATTCCCCCCCTGCGTTTGTGCATGCGTGTGTCGCGCGCTACCCTGTGCGGGGCAGATCATGTTCAAGAGCCGCTGTGACAACCGCTTGAACGATGTCACGGAGCAAGTCGCAGCGGAGAAGAGACATGTGAGTGCCACGCAAACGCATTGCGAATGCTTTGATCGAACAATGAGACACCTCTAATGGTTTCAGTGTTGACATTGCTTTAACGTGTGACGCCTCAGCTCAAGCCTTCCTATCAACATGTGTCCTTTGTCTTGATTCCCCTAACCCTCTCCATCACCTCCAATGCACCCGTGGTGTGATGTGGTGTGGCGTGGTGCGGTGCGGTGTGGCATGGCATGGGCATGGCAGTACGACATGCTGTGCAAGCGCTACGACGAGCGCTTCAAGGCGTCCATGCCAGGTGTCAAGTCGCGATTGGCCTACGAGGACAGCGTGCTCAAGGAATTGCAGGTGGGTGGCTCGATGTTGCTTCTGCCTGCTGCTGCTTGGGTTCGTGCCTCTCATCATCCATATCTCTTCTCCACCATGCCATGTGCCTCCATGCCAAGAAATCTTCGCACGTGCCACTCCTTGTGTCAACCCACCGCCTCCTCACGTGCCACCCCACGTGCTGCCATCCCACCTCACCAGGAGCGCAAGGCGGCGCTGATGGAGGTGGTGTCGCGATTCCGTGCCACCACCACTGCTGACGCCTCGGACCTGCTGCAGGTGCGTGCATTGCTCACTGCCAGCTCGGTCCTGCAATTATTGCTGCATGTGCGTCCTTGCGCGCTGCAGCCGGCACCTCTCCGCTCCACTCCTCTCATCGCTCATCTCCTCCCTGACCCTCCTGAGCGTCCTGACTCCCCTCCTGCCTCATGCCAGGGCCGCGCGGACAAGCTGGGCATGGACCTGGAGGACGCACGGAGGGCCATGAACAGGCAGGCCAAGGACCTGGGGCTCAAAGTGCGCCCGCTGCTCGGCGCTGCCTCTGGGCCTGATGGTGGGTTGCTCGTGCTGACACGCACACTTGCTGAATTGTGGTTCTTGCTCTCTTTTTTTCCTTTCTGGTTCGTCCATATTGACAGCGCTTGTTGAGCCGTCGTTCAACTCATCTATCGACCTCTGCATGCATGTTCTGCTTGGCATGATTCCTGTTCTGCCCTCCATGCATTCACTGCATGTGCACGGATGCATGCATGCTGCTCTGCACACGCTGCTATACTTGTATGCATGAATGCATGTGCATGCATGCATGTTGCTATGGTCGTATGCATGCATGCAGCGTGGCGAGTGGCCCTACAGGAGAACATGGCGGACTGTGATGATGACTGGGACGAGTTCATGGACCAAGGTGAGGCCATGCCGGGTGATGAGCGGTGAAGTGAGGTGGGGTGAGGTGTGATGATGACTGGGACGAGTTCATGGACCAAGGTGAGCATGGGTGGAGGTGTGCGAGGGGGTGTTGCAGGTTTCTGCACCACTATGAGGTCAGAGCACCGAGTAAAATGGTGGTGGACCAGAAGGTGGCGCGTTTGTCATATGCCTACCTGCCCCCTCTCTCTTCTGCACTGCGTGCTCATTTACCCTGCATCCACTGCCCCCATCTCTCTCACCCCCTCTCCATTCTGCCTCCCCTGAACCCGCTTCTGGTGCTCGCCTCGCCTGGACGTACCAACACCTGCCTGTCTTCCCTCTCCAACCCTACATCTCCCCGTCCCCCTTTCCCCTTTCCACAGGCTTCTCAGTGGTGCGCTCGCGCACAGACGACCTGCTGGGGGGAGAAGATGATGAGCCGGCGCCCCTCATCCCGCTCAGCCCCATCGACCCCTCCAACCCGCCCCCCGCCCCCTGCCCCCTGCCCGTTGCCCCTGCTGCTGCCCCCACCCCCCCCTTCACAGGCTTCTCAGTGGTGCGATCGCGCACAGACGACCTGTTAGGGGGAGACGATGACGAGCCGGCGCCTCTCATCCCTCTCGGCCCCGTCACCCCCTCCGCCCCGTCCCTTGCCCCCGCTGCTGCCCCGGGTGCTGCTGCCGCTCCTGCTGCTACCCTTGGTTCTGATGCCGCCGCTGGTGGTGCTGCTGGCGGTGCTGTGTCGGCTTGGGCCCTATTGGAGGAGGAGGAGGAGAGGAGAGCGCGGGAGGATGGGGAAGAAGGGGAGGGAGAGGAGGAAGAGGAGGAGGAAGGAAGGGAGGAGGGTGGGGGGGTTGGGCAGCTGGGTGGGTGGTCTAGAGGTAGTGGGAGGGGGCGGGGGGGGATGGGCGAGGAGGAGGAGGAGGGGGGGCATGTTGAGGAGGAGGAGCCTGAGACGCCTCAAGGGTGAGTCTCTTACACTTGTAATTTATAAAAAAAAGTTTATCCCTATGCCTCTCTGCAGTATTCTGGAAAACATCAGTCGTTGCCTTCATTTCAGGCCGCTGACATCCTCGTATCTGAATCGTATCCTCCCTTTCGTTCTGTGCCCAACATTCCCATCAATCCCATCGGTCTCGCTTACCCTCCTCCCCATGTCCTGTGCCGTCACCTGCTCTTACCCCTCGGTGCTCTCAGCCCATCGGCATGGGACAACCGGTTTGGGTTCACAGCCTCAGGGGTGGACTCGCCCTCTGTCTCCCAGGTCAGCGCTCCTCCTCCCATCATGCCACTGCCACGGCTTCACCCCCCTCCTCTCTGCCCTGTTCTTGCCACCGCTTCACCCCCCTCCTCTCTGCCCTGTTCTTGCCACTGCTTCACCCCATTTTTACGCCACCTTCTCTGTTACAAGTGCCAAACACACTGCGCACCGCTTCCCAAAGCTCTCCGCCTGTCCCTGCATGCCGCATCTCCCCATCGTTTTCATGTGCCTTTCATCTTCTTATTTCCTGCATCCCATCCCATTCCCTTCCGCGCACCAATCACAGTCCATGGACTTCCAGCCCTCTGCCTTCGCCGCCCAGGACTTTGCCTCGGGATTCGACCATCATTTCGACGCCACAGGCTCGGGCTTCCGAGCCTCCAGCCAGTATGACTCCAACTTCCGAGCTTCGAGTGAGTTTGACTCGCATGCGCATCCAGAAGACTCAGCTTCTGAGCAGTCAGGGCTGGGGTTTGGCCGCCCAGACGATTACGCTGAGGTGGCTTCGGGCGGCGCTGCAGGATTTGATTCTGCTGCGGGGTTTGATTCTGCATATGGAAGTGGGCGGGGCAGCGGTGTGTCGGCGTCACGATTTGATGAGCATGTGGGGGAGGAGGATGCATCGTCTGCAGACAACACTCCCATGGCAGGCGCAGGGGGACACTTTTCTCAGCGCGGGTGGGGTGCATTCTGAACATTGGTGCACACAGCTCCTTATTTACAACCACCACCAGTGTGTAAGGGACACTGTAGGCGCGGTTGGATGCTCGATGTTTGCCTCAGCAGGGACATTTATCCAGTAGTGGAACAATGGGCAGGTGCAGCAAACTCCTCACAGAACATTGTAACATACATATGGTAACCCTAGTGCACAGTCACCATCATCACAGCACTGCCTTCTGACTAAACACCGGTACCGGATAGAACCTTTGCACCAGCGGGTCCTCCAGCACCCGCTCCGATGTGCCACACGCCACCACTTCATGCATCACATACGCGCGGTCACACACCCCCAGCGTCACAGCACTGCCTGCCGACTAAACGCCGGCCCCAGATAGAACCTTTGAACCAGTGGATCCCCCAATACCTCCTCGGGCGTGCCACACGCTACCACCCTTCCCTCATGCATCACATATGCGCGGTCACACACCCCCAGTGTCCCCGCCACGTTGTGATCCGTGATGAGAATGGCCATGCCGTCCTGCTCCCTCAGCGCACACAGCATGCTCTGCATCAGCTGCACGCCTATGGGGTCCACGCCTGCGAACGGCTCGTCCACCATGAGTAACCGCGGCGGGTTGCATTCGCTGTCCTTTACTGCCAGGGCTCTAGCGACCTCCTGTGTGTCCAGTGGGGTTGGGGGAGGAGGATAGGGAAGGGGGAGTGAGAGGATGAGGAGCAGCATGGCGGGGTGTGCAGAGCTGCTGCGCCACATGAGTGCAGGCCTGTCAGTGTCTCGTCCAGCATGGGAAACCAAGACACATGTAAACGTGCATGCGAGTGCACGAACACATGCACATGCAATATGACATTCGGATGCACGTACCGCTCTTCGCCTCTCCCCACCGGACAGGTGGCGGCCCATTGTGTGTGCCACGTGGACCAGGTCAAACTTGCGTAGCAGCTCCTGCAAGGGCGAGGGGAGGGTGGGGAGCAGTTGAGAGGGGTTGAGGGACGAGAGAGGTGAGATGAGGGCAGCGAAGGGGAGAGTGAATGAAGAGAACAAGGCACGGGCCACAGTGGGTATGGCAGGGCCATGCCATGGGCACAGCATGAGCATGCATCCACAAATCCATGCATGCATGCAAGCACGCGCGCACCTCAATCCGGACGTCATGCAGGTGGTGTGGCAGCGGTCCCTCCTCCAGCACGAGGCGAATGTTATCCGCCACGCTGAGCCCGTGGAAGATGCTCGCCTGCTGCGCCAGGAACAAGCTGACTGCTGGGTCAACTCAAAAGCACATGCGCACCTCTATCCGGGCGTCATGCAGGTGATATGGTAGGGGTCCCTCCTCCAGCACGAGCCGTATGTTATCCGCCACGCTGAGCCCCCGAAAGATGCTCGCCTCCTGCGCCAAAAACGCCACGCCCATCCGCGCCCGCCGCTCGAGCGGCAGCCCCGTGACGTCAGCGCCGCCCAATCGCACGGCGCCAGCTGTCGGGGTCTCGCGGCCGACGGCGATGCTGAAGGTGGTGCTCTTGCCCGCGCCGTTGGGACCCAGCAGACCCACCTGTAGGGGAAATAAATAGGAGAGGGGAGGGGGGTTGTTGGCATGGTAATGGTGCCATTTGGGATGGGTGACAAATGGGACGGCGACGCTGAAGGTGGTGCTCTTGCCCGCGCCGTTGGGCCCCAGCAGACCCACCTGTAGCGGCGGGGGACGAGAGAGGGGGGTGGTTGGGATGGTGATGGCTGTGATGGGAAGAGAGGAGTGATTGGAGAGGATTCGCAGCAAGAGGGGATAACAGTAGCAGAAGCATATGTTAACGTGGAACCCTCACGAGGTAACATGTGTGAGGGGGATAAGAGGGGCGGAAGGAGACCCCAAGGGACGGAACGGCAGGAAAAGAGGTAGTTACGATTTCTTGCGGGTTAACGTGGAGTGACACGTCATCCAGAATGACTCGGTTGCCGAATCTCATCCCAATCCCTTGCAGGTCCAAACACCGCGATTCTGCGACCTGCTTGCTTGCGCCGTCGTCGCTCGCACCGTCTCGCTCTGCCACATCGCTCGCCAAAGTGCTGCTCTGCGACAGCCAAGCAGATCGCACGGATCGCAAGACGATTAAGGAACGACTGAAAGACTGGAACTTGGAAAACACGCTGACGACGGTGCCACAATGGGATTACCATCTGAGAGTTCTGCCGCACGACGAATCGCGAAACGGGAGCGAACGTCGCCTAGATCGCATCCGACCACTGGCGCAAAGCGGCGCAAGAGCTCGACATGGTGTAACAGCAGCCCTCGAGAAAAGAGCCGTGACGTTTCGAGCGGCCAGATTAGCCATAACCAAGCTTCCTATCGCATTTCACTGAGAGAAAGGAGCGCAGATGTTGCAAAAGCGCCGAATCTTCACGGCATGCGATGCGACTGGTGCGACAGGAAATGGGGGCAAATTGAATGGCAGGCGATTTTGCAGCATTGTGAGCGACGATGGTTGGTGAAATATCGAGGAGGGTGTTGGCGACAAACTCGTCTGTGCGAAATACTCTCGCAAATCGTAATTGCATTTTTGCATTGCCGCCTTTCCTCCCATTCCACTTCCCCGCCAACGCGAAAATGCACCGCTATACCGCACAACATCGTATCTCAACCGTTGTCACCGAGGAGAAAGTGAGGTCAGTGCACACGTTATCTCCTACAGCATCAGGCACGGTATATCTGGCAGCGCTAGGCGTAAATTAGGTCAACCACCCGACTTGTTCATTCTTCCATCGCCTTTGCGGCGCGTTGAGTCCGTCGTTTCTCCTTGCCCATCTAATTGCTCGTTATCTAATCTTCTCTCTCCTTTCCCGCGTCGTCATCTCTTATTAACCGTGTCCTGGTGTGGTGGTAACTGCCGTCTCCTGACGCCCAGTCGACTTTCTCGTGAATCATTTGTGACGTCCGAAACTAGTAACTTTCTCGTTGTCTGTCTCTAACAATGAATATCATTGGATGATAGGATGAAGTTTCTTGGAGACAGCCATGGAACAGCGTGAACCCTAGCTCGGGTATAACGCCGTTTCGTTCGTTCCCTTTAGGGTAACCCGACATACAGTTAGGAGCGTAACAGTTTACTCTGAGTAACCGTCTACACCTTCCTGGTTCCGTCCCTCCGTAACCACCCCTCTAACCCTTTCCCAATCTCGCATTGCGCAATAACGAGGTCATGGACGACTGTGACTGTATCGGAGGGCAGTGGGCGACGGACGACCTGCTAGTCCGCTACCAGTACGTCTCCGACTTCTTCATAGCTCTCGCCTACTTCTCCATCCCGCTCGAATTAATATACTTCGTAAAAAAATCCGCGGTTTTCCCGTACCGATGGGTGCTCGTCCAATTCGGCGCGTTCATAGTTCTCTGCGGCACCACGCATCTGATCAACATGTGGACCTTTCGCGAACACACGCGAACCGTCGCCTTCGTCATGACCATCGCGAAAGTCCTTACGGCAGTCGTGTCGTGCGCGACGGCGCTCATGCTCGTGCACATCATTCCCGACCTTCTCTCCGTGAAAACCCGCGAGCTGTTCTTAAAGAATAAAGCGGCCGAGCTGGATCGCGAAATGGGATTAATCCGCACGCAGGAGGAGACGGGGCGGCACGTGCGCATGCTGACGCACGAGATCCGGTCGTCGCTGGACCGCCCGACGATTCTCAACACGACGCTGGTGGAGCTGGGTCGCACGCTGCAGCTCGACGAGTGCGCGCTCTGGATGCCCGCCAACCTCGCGGGTGAGAGGTTGGGGCGATGGGGGTGGCGTTGGTGTTGTTGGTGAGTGGGGCGATGATTGGGCCGAGAAGAGGGGTTGAGTATAATGGCGGGTGAGATCATGGGGAGATAGGCCTGGAAACTGGAGTAGAGTTAGCCAGGTGATAGGGCAGGTGTGGGATGGAGTGGTCGTCACCATCTCTGCCTTGCTGCTTTCACTATTCTCACTATCCTTTTCCCCACCCCTTTTTTCTCTCCCATCATCTTTTCCCCCCTCTCCTCCCACCATTACCCTGCTCTCCTCCCATAATCACCTCCCCCTCCACCCTCCTTAATTCCCGTCCTCGTTTTACCATCCTCCCCCTCCATCCACCACCCACCCCCCTTCCCAGGCGACGAAGACGAGGACGGCGGCGGGTCCCCATCGGACCTGCAGCTCATTCACACGCTGCATCAGCCCAAGCCCCCGCCAGTCACCGTAACGCTCGCCCACCCCACAGTGAAGCAGGTCTTCAGCACCAGCCGCGCCGTCGTCATCTCGCCCAACTCGCCCGTCACCGCCATCCCGGGCGGCGGCGGGCGGGCGGGCGGCAACCGCTACGTGGCCGGCGACGTGGTCGCGGTGCGCATCCCTCTCCTCCACGCCAACACGTTCACGGGCGGCGGGGCGGGTGGCGCGGGCGGCAACGACTGGCAGGACTCGCGGGAGAGGAGCTACGCTCTGCTCGTCCTCATGCTACCAGCCGACAGCGCGCGCCGGTGGCACGTGCACGAACTAGAAATGGTTGAAGTGGTGGCGGATCAAGTGGCTGTCGCGCTCTCGCACGCGGCCATCCTAGAAGAATCCATGCACGCGCGGGATCTTCTCATGGAGCAGAACGTGGCTCTCGACCACGCGCGGGCGCAAGCCGAGAAAGCCATCCGCGCGCGAAACGATTTCCTGGCTGTTATGAACCACGAGATGCGCACGCCCATGCACGCCATCATCGCTCTCTCCACGCTTCTCCAGGAGACGGAGCTGACTCCGGAGCAGCGCAGCATGGTTGACACGGTGCTGAAATCCAGTAATCTCCTCGCGACGCTCATTCACGATGTGCTAGACCTCTCCCACCTGGAAGACGGTAGCATGCTGCTGGACGTCCGCACGTTCAACCTCCACGGCACCTTCCGGGAGGTGGCATCGCTGGTGAAACCGGTCGCGTCGGTGAAAAAGCTGGGAGTGACGCTAAGGTTGCAGTCGGACGTGCCGGAGTTTGCGGCCGGGGATGAGAGGAGGCTGCTGCAGACGGCGCTGAACGTGGTGGGCAATGCCGTGAAGTTCACGCGGGATGGAAGCATTACGATTACTGTGTGCCTGGAGCGGCCGGAGTTTCAGCGCGACAAGAACTTTCCGAAGTTTGTGCCGGTGGTGGCGCTGGGAGACAAGCATTACTACATCCGCGTGCAGGTGAGCAGTGGGGCTTATGGGTGATCCAGGGCACTGCTTTGGTCGAGGTTGAGAAATGCCCTGCCCAGTGTGTTTTCGACTCTAGAGTCACATTGGGAACAAGCACTACTACATCCGCGTGCAGGTGAGCAGTGGGTAGGGCTGTTGCTATTGCTGGAGACGCATGACAATGCCCAGTTCAAGGCCGCTTTTGGGACGAGCCAATTAGTGACGTTCTGACTGCTGCTGTGGTGGTGGCGCTGGGGAATAAGTGGAACCTCATGGCTCCCTGCCAGCCCCTTCCGCTGAAGGATCAGAGGAACTGTTGGCTGCTGAGCTGAACCGTGGCTCCCCGTGCCTTTTCTCCCCTTCTCCACTCGCCTCTGCCCCCTCTCGTGTCCTCGAGCAGGTGAAGGACACGGGCGTGGGTTTGAGGCAGGAGGACCAGAGGAAGCTGTGATTGCTCACTTGTCGGTTACGTGGCTCGAACCCTTGTTCTTCCTTTCCCCGCCTCTCCCCCACTCTCTTCTCCTATCCTCGCCTCTCCTCTCCTGGGTGAGCAGGTGAAGGACACAGGAGTGGGGTTGAGGCAGGAGGACCAGAGGAAGCTGTTCAGCAAGTTCGTGCAGGCAGACGCCACCACCACTCGCAACTACGGGGGCACTGGTCTGGGACTCGCTATTTGCAAGCGGTGAGTGGGGGATAGGAGTGAGATGTGGGATGTGGGGGAGGTAGGGGGGTAGATGTGGGAAGGGAAGGGAGATGGGGGGTTAGTGGTGGCTACTTTGTGCAGGCAGACGCCACCACCACTCGCAACTGAAAGTGGGGGTTTGGTTTCCGTCCTCATGGCCTCTCGTAACCACCCATTCTTCGTTCCCCACCTCCTCCCCCGCTTCCCCCAGCTTCGTGAGCATGATGGGCGGCCATATCTGGGTGGAGAGCGAGGGGCCGGGCAAGGGCACGACGGTGACGTTTGTGGTGCGGCTGGGGCTGCCAGAGAAGGCCGACGACCGCAGCAAGGCGGGCAACGCGGGGCAGAAGCAGGCTGCTGGCGGCGCTGGTGGGGCCACCAAGGCGGTGGACTTCACAGGGCTCAAAGTGCTCGTGTGTGACGATAACCAGTGAGTGCAACAACAGACAGTAATTGGGGGGGATAATGAGCAGTGGGTGCGGGGGATGATAACCTGTGAGTGGATAGGATGGAGTGGGGCTTTAAGGCATGGTTAATGTGTAGCTTGCACTGGTCACTGGTGCTTCCTCACTCACAGCAACATTAGTATTCACATTCTCGTTCATTTGAACCCTTTGTCCTCTCACCCGCTTACCTGTGCTTGCCTTTGCTTGCCTTTGCCAGTAAGGCTTTCCTTCCTCCACCATCCTCCTCTTCTCCCCATCGTTTGCTCTTATCCCCTCCTCCCATCCCCTCCTCCCACCCCCCCCTCCCATCCCCCTTAGTGTGAACCGCATGGTGACCAAGCGCATGGTGACACGTTTGGGTTGCGAGGTCACTGTGGTGGGATCGGTCGGTGCTGGCATGCCAGTAGTAACGCATTCCGCCCTTCCCGTTTGCCTGCCTCCCACTATCTCTAACCCCCCAACCCCCCACCTCCCGCCTCAGTGTGAACCGCATGGTGACCAAGCGTATGGTCACACGTCTGGGCTGCGAGGTCACCGTGGTGGGGTCGGGCCGCGAGTGCCTGGCGGCTCTTGCAGGGCCAGGCCATGGCTTTAAGGTGAGCTGACAGGGGTTATGGGAGAGTGCGAGTGCGGGGCACAGGGAAGGGTGTGAGCGAGAGGCCGCATGGGGGCTGTGGGGTGCAAGGGAGAGGGGTGTTTGAGACGGTACCCATGCGAGGGCCTCGCGGCTCTTGCCTTTCAGGGATATGATGCCCAGGTGTGCTGCCCCCAACTGCCAGCACCGTCTATCTGCTGTTATCTCCTTGCGAACACCACTCTCTCCCTCTCCAACCCCCCTCCCCGTGTACCCCTTCCTCCTTACCAACAGGTGCTGCTGCAGGATCTGATGATGCCGGACATGGACGGCTACGAGGTGGCCAAGCGGGTGATCGACCGCATCAAGAACCTGGATGAGCGGCCGCGCATAGCAGCGCTGACAGCCAACACGGACCAGGCCACCAAGGACTGGTGCCTCAGCATCGGCACCCAGGAGCACGCTGCCTCCAACTGCCAGCACCGTCTCTCTAACTACCGTTAACTTCTTGCACACACCGCCCTTTCCCTCCCCAAACCCCCCCTCCCCCCGTACCCCTCCCCTCTCCCACCAACAGGTGCTGCTGCAGGTTTTGATGATACCGGATATGGACGGCTACGAGGTGGCCAAGCGGGTCATCGACCGAATCAAGAACCCCGACGAGCGGCCGCGCATAGCAGCGCTCACAGCCAACACGGACCAGGCCACCAAGGACCGCTGCCTCAGCATCAACCTTTTTCCTCCGAACCTTCCTGCTCCCCCTCTTTTCCCCACCAACAGGTGCTGCTGCAGGATCTGATGATGCCTGACATGGATGGTTATGAAGTTGCAAAGAGGGTCATCGATCGAATCAAGAACCCCGACGAGCGCCCGCGCATAGCAGCCCTGACAGCCAACACGGACCAGGCCACCAAGGACCGGTGCCTCAGCATCGGCATGGACGGGGTCATCACCAAGCCCATCTCGCTCGAGAAGATGCGCATTGTGTTCACGGAGCTCATGACTCTCGGGAAGATCGTGTCCGATCCCAAGGCTTAAGATTCTGGTGCAGGGGTGTGCAGTGCGGTGAGGAGATGTGTAGGGAGTGGGCATGGATGGGGTCATCAACAAGCCCATCTCGCTGGAGAAGATGAGGATTGTGTTCACGGAGCTCATGACCCTTGGGAAGATTGTGTCCGATCCCAAGGCTTAAGATTCTGGTGCAGGGGTGTGCAGTGCGGTTCAGAGGTGTGTAGGGAGTGGGCATGGATGAGATGATCACCAAGCCTATCTTGCTCGAGAAGATGCGCATTGTCTTTACGGAGCTCATGACCCTTCGAGAAGATCGTGTCCAATTCCAAGGCCTAAAGCACTGTTCCCGGGGTTTGTTCAGGATAGGATGTCCAGTTGGGGAGTGTGCAGTGCGGTTTGCAGGATTGCAGGCAGTGGGTATGGATGGGATGACAACGAAGCTTACCCTATGTTTGGAAAAGATGCAGATTGTCAACACAGAGCATACCGGTATGTGCTCTGTAAATTGGGATCAATTTCTTAGAATTCTGGTCTTTAGATAGCAAGGGGTTAGCGTGTCTGGGTTTGTGGATGTGTGCAAACAGGATTCTGGTGGATATATCTTCAAATAATAGCCCTAAGAAAGGCAGGCTGGTTCCCATGACTATCCCCACAATGAGTAGTCAAGCAACAAGGTAGCAAAACTGGCTGAGTTCACAGCAAGGTATTGTAGCTGGACAGACCATTGTGCATTCTAGCCACTGATTGGCAAGCACCGTTTAAGTTTGTATCCCACTTTATTGAACTGGGAAAATCAGCTGCTGTTCCTAAGGCTAAGAGTGATTCACGTCTAAAAGGAATAAGGGGGTAAACCCTTCACATTTCAATCTGCCCACCAGGAGCATCAGCCCTGCATGAGAGGTAAGCCATGGTACAAAGGCACAGGCAAGGAGAAGAGTTAATTCAACAAGCTACTGCGAAGACAGCTTACACGCAGACCTCTCACTCTCATGCACACAAAACCATGTCAAACTGTCACTATCTGCCCATTCGTATTGCATCCTCTCGAGGCTGCTTCTGTCTACTGAGTACCGCAATCTGTCCACTCGTTTCCGCCTCCCAGACACTCGCTTCTGCCATGTGTCCCCTAGATCCGCAACCTAACCCCTCGATTCTGTAATCGTCGATCCGGTTACAGCGTACTGTTGATCCCAGGCACAGAGTGCTAGCGCTCCACCTTCAAAGCGCCTAGCCCACATACCCAAAGCTCCAGTCATGTGGCGTCAGTGGTGTCATGCGAAATGGTTAGTGGTGTCATGCGAACCGGTAAGTGGTGACATGCCATGCCATCAGATGCTACCCTAAACGGAAAGTCCACGAGATGATTCGTTCTCTGGGCTGGACAACACGCAGTGTACTGCGGACACTAGTATTATTCGACATACAACCTACGTTTGCACCCTGCTCTCACTCGTTCACACGGATTTACAGGACGTACCCGGTGTAGCCGAATTTGGCGCGATGGATATTGCGCTGTCGGATCCAGCAGATGCACACGCACAAGAGGCAGAACGCCATGCCGAAAGTCACTCCTGGAAAAGGGCAAGGAGAGCACGCAGCGCGGGAGTCAATCAACAATAATCTTTAACATCCTTTATCGTCTCACCCCACCCTCTCTTACTCCTTATTGTTCACTGTCACTCCACTTTCTCCCAAGAAAAAGCTGGTTACATCGCGCACGACTGGGATGACGATTGTATGACATTGCGACGTTTGTACTTTGGATAACAAATTTCACAACGAACGATGTACTTTGGTTGGATGAGTATCTGATAATGACGTAAAGAGCAGCGATGGCTGATGCGAAGATAACTGGCCGATAGCCAGGCGACTGGCGTGGTGGCGATGTGAAGGGTCCGAATCAAACGAGTTCAAAGATGTTCGCAACAGACTATAATCACTCACCGAGTGCATCCTGATTTTTGCGTCAAACTCGAAAGCGGCTCGCTACGGGTTGTGAGGACTCACCGAGAACGATGCCGATGATGCCTTCGGGACCAATCCCGTCGCTCTGCATCTTCGTGTACGTCCCTTGGAAATCGTACTTGGAGTAAAAGTCGCCCTCCACTGTTCCCGCCTGTTCTGTGGGCGTCAGACCTGACGGCTCGGTAGCATCGCCGCCGACAACGGTGCCGGCCGGCATGTTCTCCATGTCCTGCGCGATCTGCTCGTCCGTCTTAGGAGGCTCGTCCGCCGGCGGCTCATCGACCGGCGCTTCGTCAGCTGGCGGCTGGTCGGCGGGAATGTCTTCAGGCGGAATGTCCTGGTTGAAGGGGTCTTGGGGCACGCCCTGCTCGCCGTCTGCAGGCACGTTTGCTGGGTAGTCCCCCTCTCCCTCACCGGCGAATCCCGCGTTTTGCGGCTCTGGCGGGTAGTCCTCATTCGCCGCTGGATCTTGCGCTTGGCATCGTGTAGACGACAGAACTAGGCAGACCAAGGACAGAAGGATAGCCAGCCGAGCGAATCTCGCCATTTTTTGAGTCCGAAATCACCGACGCAATGCCTCAACTCAGTCCGTTACCTATACTAAAAACTAGCAGGAATTGAGACCTTCGTAACTGAACTGAGAAACCAAAATGCTTGATTGAAGAATGGCCTGCGTCTGTGAAGTGCTGATGACCAGAAATATTCCCTGAGCTCAATCAGCGAAACCAAACTGGGGGGCCAAGCTTGAGGCAAGATGTTGTTCGGGCTTCGGTGTTCGCCAAGCTGGAAGTGGTTCGTGCGAGCCTTGGGTTTATCACGTCAAAACCGCTCTCGCCGAGCCTCAAGGCGCGGTGCCTCCTTGGTCCGGCTGGGTCACATCTCCCATTTGCGTCGCTAGAGCGTCGCACAAAGCTATCATAGGTTGCTGCGTCAATCTGCTCTGTTGTCGTCACCCCCGAAAGCGAAGGATTCGGGGTATGGGAAGTTCCAAAAAGCACGTCCCCGCGGGAAGTGCAGGTTCGGAAATATGCGAAGTCGGAGGTTACCACTGCAATTTATCAGGCTGCAAATCTTCACTATCGCAGAGCGACTGGAACAAGCGGGTGCTTGTGGCGAGAGTCTGGGGCAAGCTGGCCCGTCTTGAGCGACCACTCCCAGACCAATCACCTGAGAGACGGGATCGCTCATCCAACAACCCCAATCACATGACACTGTCGCTCATGCAACCCTCTCCGTGCAGGCTTCCACATAACCAGCCACACCCATACCATACACTCCACCATAAATCTCTCCATGCACTACCTTCTTTACGCTTTCAGATATGCTCTCACCTTCTATGCATGGAGGACAGTTTTCAACTCAATGCTCAGGAGCTCAGGATCAGGTCAGTGCATTGGATCTGGTCGCCTTCCAACTATGTTCTCGAAACACATTCCACCTCACTCTTGCTCATCTACCTTGCTCTGGCCTCGCATGGTACCCCTTGACAGGTTGAAGCGGTTCAATGCAGCCTTTGAGGAGCTGGCACTGCTGCAGGGCAGCTGGAACATCGTGCACATTAGCACACGCAGGAACATTCGACAACTGCTGGCCACGACTCTGCATGACAAATACAAGGACTTTCTCATTCCACACAGGTGCCTGCTCACCCCTTCCTTCCAGTGTGCTCATGAGCCCCACATGTGCGATCCATAGGCATTCTACCCATGCATGTATGTGCAACAAAGATGAGTGTGTACGTTCCCTCCACGAACAACTCTGCATACCTCCAGTTGGCTGTTGGATGGTTTCATCAAATTTCTGTGTGCATCTCTCCTCATTTTTCTCAAGCTGTTTCTCAGTCTGTCAGAATCCCTCTTCTTTCACTTTGGCCTCTCTACCGTATGTCTTACCTCCATCATACAGGGACATCTTGACAAACATTCCCTCGTATCGCTGGTCTCCAGATCGCCTTCTTCGCGCTGTACAAAAGAACTTTTTTATTGGTCCCAGTATCATGCGGTCGAGCTCCCATGACGTGTAAGTAACCATTGTAGTTGAGCTGGTTTTGAGGTGCCACATATCTGTTACTTGTGATACATTATAGCTCCTTCACCGCCGTTACAGGCGATCAATGGTAAATAGCCTGCAATCCGAAGTTACGTATTAGTGGGTACATGTCACTAGAGGGTGTGCATGATGCTATATTTATGAGCACAGCCTTCCTCTTACAGTGCTGATACCAGCCTGTTGATGCCCTCAGCTCGTATGAGCCACATACAGTAGATGGGCATGGGACGTTTGTTTGGAGAATCAGCTGATTTGGCCGAATACTGCTGACTGCTGCTGTACTTGAATGTAAGAAACATTTTTGGACTTGAGAGCGAGTACCGTATCTCTTCTCCATATGATTTGAGCAGTCTTTGCAACGAATATGGCTTGAAAATATGAGCCTCCTTCACTTGTTTGTTTGCTCATAAGTTCCACACTTCGAAGAGATGAGTACAAGGCACATTGGATCCTGCCTCAAAATAAAGCAGGTCCCTGCAAAAACAAATCGTTGTTAGTATAATCCGGCCTGCCTAACAAGGTGCGTGTTAGTAGGTTGAAGTGGGCTTTGACCAATGTGTTAGAAGGGCTGTTGAAGGATCCGCATCATGGCACATGGACCTGCAGCGCATTGCCATGCTGATTGTCCATTGAACTTTCATGGGTTTCTATGACACGGCTCCACTCCTCTTTTTCCCTGCTGCCTGCTGCGAACCCTTCTCATGCTGCCGTTGCTCCTGCTGCTGCTCCCTGTGGATGGCCCGCAATCCAGAGAATATGAGCACACGGACCAGCAGTGATACAATCCTGGAGCCGAAGGCCCAAATGATCTCAAACAGCCACATGAAGATGTTGTTGGATGGAAAAATCCCTCTTGACAGGGAGCACAGCGTCCGCGGGACAATGCCATGTGTCGTAACCACTAAAAACTCTCCAGAACGAACAGTCGCTACAGTGCACTGGGCTATGGAGTCTGGAGATTCGACGCTGCTGCGGTCGTAGAAGCATGCGACTTTCATTGATCTGGTTAAATGCTTGCCAGTGAACTCAGCTGGTTGGGGTGAGACAGGGAGACGTGTGAAAACGTTCGTGAGATGTTGAGGTGACAAAGAAAGAGCAAAAGAGAGAAGCAAAAGCAGAGTGGCTCACCATCATCCAGTAGTGCTGTGTCTGTGAAGCCTGGACATATCAGAGACACTTGAATGTTGTATGGTAGAACCTCAAGCCGCAAAGCCTCTGCAAATCCTCTGACCGCATACTTAGTGGCCGTATATATCGAAGCTCCATACCAGAAGCTCTGTAAAACAAAGTGGAAACGAGTGTAAGTATCAAATTACAGCATCACCGCAATACCGAGAACGAGCAGCTTCAGCTGAAAGAAATGCAACCGTGATAGATGGAATATTGAGATCGTAAAAACAATTTATGGATGAATAAGATTATCAGGAAGGCTCACCAGGGCTGCTAGAGAGCACGTGAAGACAATAGCTCCAGGCTTCTCCCCAGCCTCGACCCGAGCCTTCATGCTTGGGAGTACAGCCTGCACTGGGTAGACACTCCCCAGGAAGTTGGTGTGAACCTGTGACTGCACGTCGTCAGCCGATAAGTCTTCCACAAGTCCGGTCCTCACAATGCCGGCATTGCACTGTAAGATATCAATAGGGCACTCCTCATCTATTGATGTTATCGCTGCCTTGATAGCCGCCTGGTCAGTCGCATCCACGGACTGGAAGAGTAAGGAGAATGCAGGGAAAGGCGAAAAAGGAATCAATGGAGGATGTTGAAGAGGCTTAACAAGTTACGAACACTTGTTGTGCGAGAAGATTTCAGCTACACAGGGAGGAACGTTACATCCGATAATAATTTGACAGAAAGGTGTATCTGTCAATTTGAGACGAACCTTGATCGATACCCACGGATTAGGGGAGATGAGCGTGGTCCTGGTGTTGCTTGAAGGGGTTGTAGCGTTGTCAAGGCAAGCTTCCACCTCATTCCTTGCTTGAACCAGCTTCTTGTGATTTCGAGCAATCAATGTCACGTTAGCACCCTGCGGTAATCACGCGCGACAAAGAGAAAGGCTGCGGACTGCTTCAGCAGAAAAAAATCACGAACTTGTCTCCGAAAAAAGGGGACAACTGCATGAAGCAATGAAGAAATAACAGTAGCTAGCCTAAAACACGAAGTACCTCGCGAAAGAAGCGTTTAGCGCACGCGAGACCTATTCCACTTGAACCTCCGGTAATGACCACATGCTTTCCTTTGAGCGACCTCATGCCAGATTCTTGACTGACGGACGCCCCAGTAGGCTTTCTATGTCGTTCTTTCTCGAAAGCTAGGCGACCGTCAAAGAAAAACGTCAATCAGAGTTCAACACGCAAACACGAAGCATGGGGACTATAATGTGTTCGTATCAAGATGAAAATCAGCGGAGCGACAAACTTCGAAGCAACAAGCGTCAAATGAGAGCTATCATACGTGACAGGAGATCGAAGGGGTAATACTATCCGATAGCTGCTAGACACCAATTAGTGATAAGGTTTACGATGATAAACAACAATGGGATCAGTAAGATTCACTGCGTGGGCTCCCCACCAGCAGAAATCTTAGGCTATGAAGTGAGACAGTTGAGGCGAAAAAGCAGGTTCTCGGCCTACAAGTAGCGACTCGGGGTGGAGACCTGACCTTGCCTGAAAATGTCAGGCTGGTTTACCTCCCTGACAGAGCCCACCGACTCGGACCGAACCAATCCGCAACCTATGGAGCGCCGAGTTTTCGGCGCGAGAAGCGAGGACGAGGAACAGCCCCCGAGGCTCTGTGGGAACATGGGACGTTTGTTGACCATGAAAGTTGAGTGTAGCACAGAAATGTACAAATAAATGTAAAGGTCGTGTATTATACCTTAATTCACAAGTGAGATTTCTTCTCACAGGGACAGAATAGTGGACATTGATTAAGATATACTTTCAGCTTGTAACCAAAAACAAAATCAGGCGCTCTAACGCTTAAGAACAAAGTGTGAAGGAAGAGGGCTGACTGGGAAACCGCCCTCTATTTTGGGATGAGACGGCGCCGTCTGCGTGTGGTCTCTCGTTCTAGAAACTCTTTCTCCAAGGCAGTTAAACCACGCCGCCGGGCTCCGGGCTCAACCACAAAGCGATAGCCTCCACCACGACCGCGTCGGCCCGCCTCCCCGAGCTCTTCCACAAGGTAAGTCCAGCCATTTGGAGGCCTACGGCGCTCCATGGCATTGACTTTAACTGGGCCATCGGCCATCTGGAGCAGTACGTCAGAGCGTTTTTAGCAAAAGAGGAGGATGGCCAACTGGAGGGAACTGTTAGGAATACCATGTCCAGCAGTTGTACAGAATGATGGAGCGGAGGATAATTAACAATGGAAACAGCCATCTTCTCTGTGTGAGTGGGTGTCCACATGCAAATGTGCATGTACATGTGGGGGTGTGCGTACGTGTGTGCGCGTGTGCGTGTATGTGTGTGTGTGTGTGTGTGTGTGTGTGTGTGTGTGTGTGTGTGTGTGTGTGCACGTGTGTATGTGTGTGTGTGTGCACAATCAAGTGCACATGAGACAAGTACCTGTTTCTTGTTGAACTCCATTCTCTTGACAAACTCGTCCAGTTTCCACATCTCCTCCTTCTCAGACTCCTGTAGCAGCAGCTTTACCCTCTCCGGCCCCTCCGGAAGCGAGTCGACGGCTTCACTCGGGTAGATCTTCACATGCCGCTCTCCCACTGCCTTGTCGTAGGAACTGAATCAGACAGGAGACGCAGTTGAAGAAGCAAGGGGGGACATGCAGGGACAAAGGTGACAGAATTGAAGACGGTGATTGGAAGGGGGAACAAAAACGGGGGAATTATAGGACCACGTGAGAAGTTAATTACACACGCGCTCAAGCTCGTAAAATCAGAATTTGATAAACGACAAGGGCAAGACACCAACCCATGCTGCTTCTCAAACTCCTTTGCGATGGAGTCATCAAGAGGCTTGCCTTGCTCCTCCTCCATCTTCTTCTCCAGATCCTTGAGCCACAGGATCGCATGCACTCGCTGCTGTCGCACGCGATACTCGCGAGCCAGCCGTGCGACGCTCCAATGACCCGGATCCTTCTGATGCAACAGCCACATGTTCTCCTTGCTCTCCTCTGACAAACGCGCGGCCGTCGAATCAGGAGGAAGTTCGGTCAGGTTGAAGATCCACGGCTCCGATCTAACACGAAAACCATCGTCCCCGTCTGAGCGTCCATCTGATGAACCCGCGGGTCGTCCTGCGCCCGATCGGCTTCCGTCGTCACCTGCGCCAGACAGGACCAGCGAATCGGCTTCCTGATCGTTCGAGCCAGCGATTTCCGCTTCTGCTGATGGATCTTGCTGGTTGCGATGAGGCGAAGCGACAGTAGCGAAGCAATGGCTAAGATCGGCGCAATGCTGCGACGACTGGGCGATAAGACCTCCGGCTTGCGAAATCGCTGCAGCCCCTGCTGCTGTCCTGGCTGCTGCGGAAGAGTCTAGAAGCAGAGCCGAGGGCACTAACGCCCTGAAGAGTCGTAGCTTTGACATCGAGGAACTGCCTTGCGATCGTCCGAGAGGTAGTTACCAGAACGTGCAAATAGTCTCCGCATAGCCCGCTAGAAACTCCGCAAAGCGGGAAAACTGCTTCGTCCTGGGGCGACCATCTATTCCTCCTGCCTGATATCCTGCTTGTTGTCCTGCTTTGCGAAACCTTGGGGAAACTGAAGGAACTTGTGGTCCCTGATGACATGTGGCATAGACCTTCATACAATTGCTCTCGAAGTTTACTAGAATTGATGCACTCGAGTAGTCTCTGTCTGTGCCCTAAACTGCGCTGATAAATGAAAATTGGTGCTGGGGGGGTGAAAACTACCAGTTAAATTTAAAATTACAAGGCTATATATGAAGAGAAATAAAGGGTAGCACGTTGATGATTATTCAATCCAGTGTAATTTACGACAATTGCGGTTGACGATTTCCACTGATAGCAACACCTTTGTTTTCAAACGCTTGGGTACTAGTAGAGATGGTATAAAATTCCATTTATTCTCATTCGCAAATTTGCCAAAACAACAGGAAGAAACCGCAATGGCGGGACGAAGGGAGAGCATCTGCAGGGTGAAATGGAGGGAAGGAGCAAGCATGGTGCTGCAGGGGACTGCAGGTGATAAGAGTGCTGAAAAGTGTGCATGAGAGGGGTGGGGACGCATGAGCAAAGACATGGTTGGCATGAGATGAGATGAGTACATTGAAACAACAGGTGCCAGGAACAAAAAAAACACCTGACGCCTTGTCTTGACGTCAGGTGATCCCAACAGAGAGACGGCGGTGGGAACGCCGCTCGCATCGGCCACAGCTGTAGCATGCAGCGGCGAGTGGGCGTGCCACGCTAGGTGGTTTCCTGAGACGGCCACTCAGCACTGAGAGGGCTATCCGCGCTACAGCCTCGTCCTGCTATGGGAGTTAGGGGGATGAGATATGAGGAAATGAGACATTGGGAGATAAGATATGGGAACATGGGATATGGGGATAAACGGTACAAGGGCATGAGATGGAGGGCAAAAGGCAGAACACAGGACGCGTGGAGAAGTTAATAAGAGCATGAGAAAAGACATGCTTGCCGCGAGCATGGACCTTTTGAAAGAATGAGTTACTGCTGATTTGCAGACTGTTGTCCCACCTGCAGGCATGTCACCTGCAACCGCACTGCACCCGTCTCAACCACTCACATCGCCATGTCACCGCTGTGCTTCGCCACGTGGCCCATTGCGCACGCAGCAGTCTCGCGCACCGCCAGCATGGCAGCCAGAAGGCACTCCGTCAGCAACGGCAGCACGCCCGCCTCTGCCAGCTCAGTGCCAGCGTGGCGTGACACGGCCTTGACTAGATATGCTGCTGCGCGCTTGTGGTCGCAATGGGAACTGCTGGGGGGAAGACGAGAAGGTGGAGGGAGAGAAAGAGGGAATGGACACAGCAGCAGGAGAGACGTGAGTGGCTTGCAGAGTGAAGGCAGCTCTTGCGAGCCAACTCAAACAGCAGAATGGCAGGAGACTTACAGGAACTGAACGTATAGAGCATCGTGACGTGACACGATGAAGGAATGGGCAAAGAGGTTGCATCCCAAGACGTGAGTGGCTTGAAGAAAGATAAAATGGTCTCTAGGATCCCATAAAGTCTTATAGCGGAAGGGGGGAGAGAAGGCGGAATGCATGAGGATGCAGAAGGGGAGGGGGGAGAGAAGGCAAAATGCATAAGGATGCAGAAGGGGAGGGGGGAGAGAAGGCAAAATGCATAAGGATGCAGAAGGGGAGGGGGGAGAGAAGGCTGAAGCAAGGGGTATCTCTTCGGCGTTTCCCTGTCAACGTCCTCATGCCCTGAGCCGAGCCCACGCTCTGCCTTGAGGCTCGTCAGTCGCATACGCTTACCCATTCCCACCCATCCCCACCCATCCCCACCCATCCCCACCCATTCCTACCCATCCCCACCCATCCCACCCATTCCTACCCATCCCCACCCATCCCACCCATCCATACCCATCCCCACCCATCCCACCCATCCATACCCATCCCCACCCATACCCGGACATCCTTACCCATGTGAGAGTGCCCAAGCGCAGGCCCCTTGGAGAGTGGCGTCAGCATGGCCCTCCACTAGGCGGTCCCTCCACTAGGCGGTCCCTCCACTAGGCGGTCCTGCAGCGGGGATTTGCCGTCCCATGCCACCCCTGCCAGCGCTGCGTCTGGTCTGGTGAGGACGCTGCCGGCCGGCCCTCACCCTCGTCCATCACTTGCTGCGGTCTCAGAGAGAGAAGGGACAGGGAACACGGGGAATGGGGGGGGCGGATGGGAAGAGGAGGGAATGGGCAAAGAGGTTGCATCCCAAGACGTGAGTGGCTTGCAGAAAGATAAAATGGTCTCTCGGATCCCATGAAGTCTTATAGCGGAAGGGGAGAGAGAAGGCGGAATGCATAAGGATGCAGAAGGCGTCAGAAAGGGGGGAAATAAAAGGATGGCGGAAGTAAGGCAGAAGGAAGGGGGGAGGAAGGGGGAGGAAGGTGATGCAAGGGGGCAAAGCAAGTGCAGCGCTGAAGCACCCACATGCCCCATTGCCTCCTCAGCGTTTCCCTGTCATCGTCCTCATGCCCTGAGCTGAGCACACGCTCTGCCTTTAGGCTCGTCAGTCGCAAACGCTTACCCATTCCCACCCGTCCCCACCCATCCCCGCCCATCCCCACCCATCCACCCATCCCTACCCATGCCTACCCATCCCCACCCATCCCTACCCATCCCCACCCATCCCCACCCATCCCCAGACATCCTTACCCACGTGAGAGTGCCCACGCGCAGGCCCCTTGGAGAGTGGCGTCAGCATGGCCCTCCACTAGGCGGTCCTGCAGCGCGGATATGCCGTCCCATGCCACCCCTGCCAGCGCTGCACGCCGTCCCATGCCACCCCATGCCGTCCCATGCCACCCCATGCCGTCCCATGCCACCCCATGCCGTCCCATGCCACCCCATGCCGTCCCATGCCACCCCATGCCGTCCCATGCCGTCCCATGCCATGCCACCCCATGCCGTCCCATGCCACCCCATGCCATTTCATGCCACCCCATGCCGTCCCATGCCACCCCATGCCGTCCCATGCCACCCCATGCCGTCCCATGCCACCCCTGCCAGCGCTGCATCACATGGTAGCGCTGCATCGCCACTGCCAGCGCTGCATCGAGGGAGGAAGCTGCGAGGAAGCCGAGCGCCACCACCACTGGGAATAGAATGTGTGGGGTTGGAGAGAATGTGTGGGGGTGGAAAGAGATAAAAGGGGAGAGGGGATGGAAATCAGACAATGAAAGTTGGAAAGCAGGAGGTATGTGTGTGTGTGTGTGTGCGTGTGCGTGTGTGTTTGTGTGCGTGTGTGTGTGTGTGTGCGTGTGCGTGTGCGTGTGTGTTTGTGTGTGCGTGTGTGTGTGTGTGGGTGAGTGGGTGGGTGGGAGTGCGTGAGCAGGAGTGTGTGGCTGAAGGATTGAGTGTACAAGTGAGCGACTGAGTGAGGCAGTGCATGGAAGCTTCAAACGCAACTAGCATGACCGTCTCCACATCGCAGCAGGGAATGGGGACAAGAAAATTGAGAAGATGGAGACAAGAGACCGCAAAGAGATTGCACAGAAAACTGAAGTCACTGACCTGAAACCTTGGCAGAGCCTTTTGTCATGCCCTCCCCCTCCCCCTCGTCCCTCCACGTGCCCACAGCATCGAGCAAAGGCCCAATGCCCCCCATGCCCACCAGCCTGCCTGCTGCTGCCGGTCCCTGCCTCGCCACCTCCCTCACCGCCGCTGCTGCTGATGCGCGCAGGGAGGGGGACGAGTCGTGCAGGCAGAGCAGCAGGCGAGATGCTCCGGGTTGGTCCAGCACTTGCTGCGGGGGGAGAGAGAGTAGGAAACGGAGGGGGGGAAGGGGAGAGGGGGAGGGGGAAAAGAGGCAGGGGAGAGTGGGGAGGTGGGTGGGTAGATAGGGTTTGGAATGAGCATACAAGCCTCTGCCTCGCCACCTCCCTCACTCCAAGCTGCTGCTGACGCCCGCAGGGGAGGAGTCGTGCAGGCAGAGCAGCAAGCGAGATGCTCCGGGTTGGTCCAACACTTGCTGCGAATCCGAGATGAAGGAGAAGGGAGAGGGGATACGGGGAAAGGGAGAGGGGGGTGGGAAGAGGAGGGAGGGGGATGGGAAGAGGAGGGAGGGGGAAGGGGGATTGGGAACGGGTGGGTAGAGAGGGGTTGGAATGAGCATGTAAGATGCTACTGCCTCGCGACTTCCCTCGATGCTACTGCTGATGCTGATGCGCGCAGGGAGGGGGACGAGTCGTGCAAGAAGTTAGAAGGCTATGCCGTATAAAGGGTAACGGTTTAGAGCGGTTCAGGAATGTTCGTGAAGTTTTAGAACGGCTTGGGAAGTTAGGAGCAGTGCTTACCAGGGCGAGGGACTCAGAGTGCCTGGCGATGGTAGAGAGGCAGACGCAGACCTGGAAGGGGTGCACAGCGGTGCAGAAGGGTGGGGAGACAGGGGTAACAGGAAGACATGCAGGCGTGCAGAGAGGTTAAGAAAGGCGCAGGGGGGTGTGTAAATGTGTGCAGAAAGGTGCAAAAGAGTTGTTGAGGAGAAGCAAAGTGTAAGCGATTGTGCAGAGACAGGCAGGAGCAAACGACAAGGGTAGAGGGAAAGGAAGGGCAGCTGCAGGGTTCAGAAGAAGGAAGGAGCAAGCGTGGTGGTGCAAAGGACAGCAGAGGTGATAAAAAATGGTTGGAAATGGGCCTTTGGGACGCATGAGCAGGGATGTCGAGAGCATCAAAACTATTGGTGCCAGGCATCGGGACAGCACCTGACGCCTTGTCTTGACGTCAGGTGATCCCAACAGAGAGACGGCGGCGGTAATGCCGCCCGCATCTGCCACGGCTGTAGCATGCAGCAGCGAGTGCCGTGCCACGTCACTCAGCACTGAGAGGGCTATCCGCGCTACAGCCTCGTCCTGCTATGGGATATGGGGGGTTGAGATATGGGGAGATGAGATGGAGTTGAGATATGGGGAGTTGAGATATGGGGAGGTGAGATATGGGGAGTTGAGATATGGGGAGTTGAGATATGGGGAGTTGAGATATAGGGAGGTGAGATATGGGGAGTTGAGATATGGGGAGTTGAGATATGAGGAGGTGAGATATGGGGAGTTGAGATATGGGGAGGTGAGATATGGGGAGTTGAGATATGGGGAGGTGAGATATGGGGAGTTGATATATGGGGAGTTGAGATATGAGGAGGTGAGATATGGGGAGTTGAGATATGGGGAGGTGAGATATGGGGAGTTGAGATATGGGGAGGTGAGATATGGGGATTTGATATATGGAAACACGAGTCTGAGGGCATGAGAGACGGCAGCAGCCACGGCTGTAGCATGCAGCAGCGAGTGGCGTGCCACGTCACTCAGCACTGAGAGGGCTATCCGCGCTACAGCCTCGTCCTGCCATGCGGTATGGGATATGGGGTGATGAGATACCAGGAGGATATGAGATATGTGAGAGACGAGATGAGGTAATGCCACCAAACATGAGGGGGACTGTAAGAGTGCATGGGAACATGTGTTACTCTACTCCCAACCAGGTTGTCAAGCTGTGCAATTTGCGAATCCCACCTGAAGGCATGTCACCAGCAACCGCACTGCACCGGTCTCAACCACTCTCATTGCCAGGTCACCGCTGTGCTTCACCACGTGGCCCAATGCGCACGCAGCAGTCTCGCGCACTGCCAGCATGGCATCCAAAAGGCACTCCGTCAGCAACGGCAGCACACCCGCCTCTGCCAGCTCAGCGCCAGCGTGGCGTGACACGGCTTTGACTAGATATGCTGCTGCGCGCTTGTGGTGACGATTGGTGCCGCTGGGGGGTAGAGGGAGTCGAGAGGGGAAGACGAGGGATTGGAGGGTGAGTCGAGAGGGGAAGACAGCGGTGGGTAGAGGGAGAGGAGAGGGGAAGACGAGGAGATGGAGGGAGAGAAAGAGGGATGGACACAGCAGCAGGAGTGACGTGAGTGCATGGGTACAGAGAAGGTATTGCACTTCAGAGCTCGCAAAGAGAAAAAAAATTACATGCGAATAGACGCAGGGAGAGGAGACTGAGGCGAGTGCCTTGCAGAGAGATGAACGGGGATGTCACATTCGCGAATTCTACGCGGACACGTATGAATAGACGCGGGGAGAGGAGGACTGACGTGAGCAGATAAGGCGTCGTAAGAAATGACTCAAGCACTGAAAGGCAGGACTGACGTGAGCGCCTTGCAGAGCGACGGCAGCACGTTGCGCTGCACGAGGTGGTGCGACCACGCGTGCGACACATTCGCCAGGCGACCCAACGAAAGCGTCGCAGCGGATCGCACGGACGCCATGCTGTCCTGCGCGAGCGGCAGCAGCAGCTGCAGCGCGCCGAGCGACAGCAGCGCCTCCGCGTTCTGCGGGGGAAGAGAAACGGGAAGAATCGCGACAAGAAACGCGGGAAGAAACGCGAGACGAAACGCGGGAAGAAACGCGGGAAACGCGGGAAGAAACGCGGGAAGAAACGCGGGAGGAACTCATTCGGCTTCAAATGCCTCAGAGGCGAATAGAGGCGAAAGTCATCAGAGCCCCTCAGGATGTTGAGATACGGGGTTCGCGGGATCTGATGACATCCCACGGGATTCGCGGGAGCATGCTCCCGTATCGACGAGCCGTCGAATACGAAAAAAAAAATGAACTCTTTCCCGGATGACATCTCAGGGGATTCGCGGGAGCATGCTCCCGTATCGACGAGCCGGCGCATACGAAAAAGGATTTGAATTCTTTTCCTGACGACATCTCACGGGATTCGCGGAAGCATGCTCCCGTATCGAGAAGTTGAGACTAAGGCGCACCTGAGGCGAGACGGCGAGTTCGCCGACTTTCATGACGAACTGCACGCGCGCGTCGCGGTACGCCTCCATTACCGCCACCACGGCTCGAGCCGCTTTGAACTGCGTGGGTGCTGTTAGCACCGCAGCTGCCGCCATAGCTATATGCAACAACCTATTGCGAATTCAAATCACGCCCGATACCCCTACGCAGTCAGATATGGCAGAAGGGAGCATTTGAGGGATTCGTTGGGCGCCCAACGGGAATCCCAAATGGAATTACTAGGCAGACGAAGAACAGTGTACAAGGTACTTCGGGCTACAGTGTGCACCCTTCCCGTAATTTAGTCAACGCACACTGAACGTGCAGTGTACACTACAAGGAACTCGTTGACTAATTCAAGAAGACCCTTCAGTTTATAACGGGCAATTCGCTTTGCCGCTTTGAACCGATCTCTACAGTACACCAACCTGACGGGTGAGACATGGAGGAATCTAGTGTGACCGGCCTCGGGGAGTGTACAGTAGAGAACAAGTGTGTGATGGTGGGAGTGTCTTCAATCTGCTGATGTGGCAAGGGCATCTCTCATCAGCACGGCAACTTACCTCTGGCGGCGTGTATTTCAGTGCACTGAAGGGCGATTACAATTGGGTCGCTGCTGATGTGGAGATTCCTATCTGTGCAGCGGAGCATCTTGCTCCTGCCAGCGCGTCGCTACAGCATCTTGCTTCCGTGCCTGATTTTGGCGCGGAACAAAGCAAGCGACTTTTTTTGGTCGCTCAGTTGTGGTCGGCAAATGTCCCTTGGCAGCTTCGCACAATCCGCTAGGGTTCTATGGGGATGCTTCCTTCCTTGGGTTCAGTTGTGACGTCAACAAATCAGCTCCGCCGACAGTTTCCCAGCCGAGCCTCGCTTTCCCTCGCATTTCGTTGAGTGATGTACCCATACCTATAAATCCTTCAGCAAACGCGCTTCCGGTTTTTGGTTCGTGGGCACAAGTGGTGGTGGTGACCACCCACAAGTGGCTGCATTTGCCGCTCACTGTACACACATCTTCTCCATCCACCTCTTGAGCCACGGTTGCTGAGGGAATCTCCTCACAGAGCACAGACACAAAATCACCCGCGAGCGGCTGAAATCGACCCGCCGTGTCGAGCCGCTCAAATGGAGGCTAACCCCAGAATTCGGTTAGACGCCGTCGGCGTGACGTAGCTTCTGCCTCATCCAGAAGATCAATTGGCTCGTGAACCACCTCCGTCTGTTTGGCAAGAACTATGTAATACAGAAACTTCTCATTTTCAAGTCTAGCTCACAATATTCGTTCAAATCCTTCCGTATGGATGCCTCTGGAGTTTTCGCCATCACCATTCGCCCCCGCCGCCGTCCATCATCTCGCTTCCATCCACGTCCCCGCCCCCCGCCCGGCCTACCTCTCAAACTCCAGAGGTAAGCCTTGTTATGATGTCACTTTGTCTTGGCTTCGTTTATATGATGTGTATATTGGACCATATTCTGACTTAATTTTGTTGCTTGTTACAGGCACAACGCCCTTATGGTCCAACCGAACTCTGCTCAAGCAAGGACACAAGATTGAGCCAGCAATTGCTGCTCACGAAGCTCTACTACCGTTTCAAGCAACCGCCACCCACTGCTCAACCTGGGAGATGGGCTACCACCACCCCGCCAACTTCCACTATCAACCCGCCGCGCCATCCACGCCCCGCCCTCCGCCCGACCTACCTGCCTATCTCCTAAGGTAAGAATAGCACTTGCACTCAAATTTTCAGCACAAGCACTTGCGCTTAACTTGTGTGATCGTTTTTCAGCACTTGCACTCTGATTTACTTTAAATGTATTTCGTTGTTCCTTGGGAAACCGTTTTCTGACTATTTTCCATTGTAACTTTTTCAGGTTCATTCTTGAGCCAGCACCAAGACCTGTTTTCAAGTCTGGCAAGAAGAGAAGTTCAAGCTGTATCAACAACTCTCAATTCGAGGACTCTGGAGTTTTCGCCATCACCATTCGCCCCCGACGCCACCCATCATCTCGCTTCCATCCACGCCCCCCCCGCCCGGCCTACCTCTCAAACTCCAGAGGTAAGCCTTGTTATGATGTCACTTTGTCTTGGCTTCGTTTATATGATGTGTATATTGGACCATATTCTGACTTAACCTTGTTGCTTTTTACAGGCACGACTTGAAAGCTTATTTAAGATCATCATGGCCTACGACTTGCGCTGCTGTACAACGCTGTCTCCGCTGCTGCAAATGCTTCACGAGAATTGTTCAACCCTGAAGATCCGCCACCGCCACCATCCGCCATCAACACCAACCAACCTTCAACTCGCCTCCATCAACGAACCACCCCTCGCCCAGCCTACCGGGCGATCTTCAGAGGTACGGGTTTCTTCGTTGCACCTGCACTGCTATTTCCTTCAAATGTTCATGTTAAACGGATTTCTGACTTCTCTTTGTTGTACTTTCTGCAGGATCAAGTAACTTGAGCTCTTTCAAGATCATCATGACCTACGACCAACGATGGTCGTCCAACAACGAGCTCCGACTTCGGCTTTTGAAGCCTTCAACCCGTGATCTGCAATGGTGGCCGCATTGTTTCGCCTTCAACCCGTGATCTGCAACGGTGGCGCGATTCTCCTCAAACTGGGAAGTCCCTTTCCCTTCTCTTCCCCTCGTTTTGTCGCTTTTTTTTCACCGTTTTCATCGCATCGTTTCCATCGCACTTACCGCTCCACCGCCCCTCTGATACGTGCGTCTGCGGCTTGTAGATGATCCTCCTCGGGCTTGGGTAGAATAGCTGTCGGGTTTGGGTAGCATAGCGCGTCTCCTCCCTCTGCAAGTCGCAGTCCACGTATCATGGGCGTCGTTTCCCGCCACGTTTTGTTCTCCTTTGTCGTTTGTTTCGTTTTTTGAATTTCGCATTTTCCTGTTTGTTTTTCTTTGTTTTCAATCTTCCATGGATTTTTACTAACTTCGTGCTTTTGCCTTTGTTTCCTCCCCCCGTGTTCCAGCAACAAGGGAACGGGGGCTGCAGCAAAGCGTCAATGGAGCTTCTACCCGTGTTCAACGTTCAACCCGCGTTCTGTCTGCGTTCAACGTTCAACCCCCCGTTTTCGCCTTCAGCAACAACTGGGAAGTGTCTTTCCCTTCGTCGTTTTCATTTTTCATCGCTTTCAGTTTCGTTGTTCAGTTCCTCCAATGTGTTCACTCGTTTTTCACATCGCGTTATTCCACCGTCCCTCTGATTCGTCTCGGCTGCATCTAGCAAATGATCCTCCTCGGGTTTTGGGTAGCATAGAGTGGGTGGGTAGCATAGATCCTCCCTTTGCTACTGCAGCCAGCGAATTATGGACGTTCACCGTTTTTCCGCCGTCTTGTTGTTTTGCATTTCGTTTACTTCTTGTTTGTATATTTTACTGACTTCGTGCTTATGTCTTTTCCAGGGTTTGAAGAAACACTTTCAAGACCTTTAAGAGGCGGATCTACACTTCAAGAGGCGGATCAACAGCTCAAACACTGGTGAGGTTCTTGTTTAACGTTTTTCAGAAGCCATTTTGAAAATCCAGTTATTCTTCATTTATAGACGTCTCCTTTTATGATGCCATTTTCAGTCACTAACTATATTCTTATGATCTGTGCAGATTAAAGGCGGATCAGCCCCTTGGCGCGCGGATTAGCCCCTTAGTGCGGATCAACTCCTTGGCGCGCGGATCAACTCCTTGGCGTGCGGATCAACTCCTTGGCGCGTGGGTCAACTCCTTGGCGCGCGGATCAACTCCTTGGCGTGCGGGTCAACTCCTTGGCGCGCGGATCAACTCCCTGGCGCGCGGATCAACTCCTTGGCGCGCGGATCAACTCCTTGGCGTGCGGATCAATTCATTGGCGCGCGGATCAACTCTTTGGCGTGCGGATCAACTCCTTGGCGCGCGGATCAACTCCTTGGCGCGCGGGTCAACTCCTTGGCGTGCGGGTCAACTCCTTGGCGCGCGGATCAACTCCTTGGCGCGCGGATTAACTCCTTGGCGCGCTGATCAACTCCTTGGCGTGCGGGTCAACGCCTTGGCGTGCGGGTCTTCTCCTTGGTCTCCGGCTGTAGCAGTTTCAAGGCCTTCAACTGCAGCAGCAGTTTTAAGGTCTTCAACTGCAGCAGTAATTTCAAGGTCTTCAACGGCAGGACAACAATTGTAGCGGGACAACACCGACGACGCAGCAGTTGTAGCGGGACAACACCGACGACGCAGCAGTTGTAGCGGGACAACACCGACGACGCAGCAGTTGTAGCGGGACAACACCGACGACGCAGCAGTTGTAGCAGGACAGCACCGACGACGCAGCAGTTGTAGCAGGACAACACCGACGACGCAGCAGTTGTAGCAGGACAACACCGACGACGCAGCAGTTGTAGCAGGACAACACCGACGACGCAGCAGATGTAGCAGGACAACACCGACGACGCAGCAGTTGTAGCAGGACAACACCGACGACGCAACAGTTGTAGCAGGACAACACCGACGACGCAACAGTTGTAGCAGGACAACACCGACGACGCAGCAGATTAACCCCTTCACGGCAGCAGATTAACCCCTTCAAGGCAGCAAATTTACCCCTTCACGGCAGCAAATTTACCCCTTCACGGCAGCAGATTTACCCCTTCACGGCAGCAGATTTACCCCTTCAAGGCAGCAGATTTACCCCTTCACGGCAGCAGATTTACCCCTTAATGGTAGCAGATTAACCCCTTACCAGCGACAGATTAACCCGTTCACGGCGGTAGATTAACCCCTTCTCGGCAGCAGATTAATGGTAGCGGGACAACATCGACGACGCAGCAGTTGTAGCGGGACAACACCGACGACGCAGCAGTTGTAGCGGGACAACACCGACGACGCAGCAGTTGTAGCGGGACAACACCGACGACGCAGCAGTTGTAGCGGGACAACACCGACGACGCAGCAGTTTTAGCAGATAGCAGCCGCACTGTATCAACCTAACTGAAACAGCTGCACTAAATCAGCCGCGATTCTGTGAAGGGAGGAACCGAGTGGGCGAAGTAGCTACAACCTTTGGCAGAGCGGTGGCGAGGGGTTGACTGGGATGGTGGGTGGCGTGGAGAGACAAGGCAACTGAGTGTGCATGCTCAG